TGTGTTGGCGACGTTGTCCAGGTAATGCTGCAGCGTCAGTCGTTCGTAGAAGATCACATCACGTGATGCCACGGTATTTTTGTCTTGTATGTCGAGGTTTTTCCATGCTTGAAAATGTTTTGCGATGCCGAGGTGTAATCCCCACCGTGCTCGTTGAGTGAATCGTCCTGCTCGGGCTGTGTGGGGTCTGTACTGTACCATGCAGCCGAAAACCCGGAGTAATTTTGTGCTGCCCCTTTTTCGTGTCCACAGCAGGTGCGGTGATGCGTTGTTGGGAAGCGAGGACGAGGATAACAAATTGTGCAGGTGGACTGCATGGGTCATCGCGTCTGGCCACAGTGTGTTGGGCAGTCTCATCCCCAGGAGCAGCTTCCGCATCGTCGTCTGCAAGTTTCGGTTCATTCTTTCTGCGACCCCTTGCTGCTGGTGAGCGTAGGGCAGAGATACCAGGCGTCTGATTCCTCTTTCCGCCAAGTAGTTCCTGAATCGTTGTGACTGGTATTCCAGTGCGCCATCTGACAGGAAGCTCTTGAGCTTGATTCCTGATTCTCGTTCAGCGATGGGGAGCCACGTCGTGAAGGCTTCGAAAGCATGATCGCGCGTCTTGAGGTTGTAGTGCCAGACATATCTTGTTGCTGCATCGATGAACGTGATGACATAGTTGAAGTCGGCTTCAGTGTCGTCTCGAGGCATGTTTAAGATGTCGCTGTAAACTTTTTCCATCGGTGCGTATGCAGGTGCGCTTGGGTTGTGATGTGATGGAAAATGTTGGTGAGGAAGATCGGCTTCGGGACACGTGAAGCACCGTGCGCGTGGTCGTCGAAGTTCTTGGCCGCTCATTGTAATAAGGGCGTTTCTCTCTAACACTTCGGCTTGGATGGTTTGTAGTACCGTGCTGTTTGCAGGATGCCCAAGGCGTTGGTGCCAGATGTCGTCGGGGGCGCGATGGCCGGGCGAGCGTTGGTACATGTCGGCGTTGGAGAAGAATGCGACGACCGTGGCGGGACTTCGTCAGACTTCGCGTGTGATGGGCATAAGTTGATCTGCTTCGGTTGGCGGTGCTCGGATTACTGGTGATGGTACTCGGCTTGGTCCTGCTGCTGCTACTGCAGGTGATGTCAGGGAAGAGACGCTTGCTGGTACTTGTCTTTCTTGTCTGATGACTGCTAACGCTCGTGTTCTTTCTGCGGCAGGTATGGTGTTGGAGTACCAGTATCCATCTGGGGTGAAGTCGGGGTCAAGATCCGGCGGGTGTGTCCAGGCTGCAAACGACACGATGCCATCGCTGTCGGCAGTACCGCGGTCAGGGACGAAGTCCAACACGAAGACGCCCGACTTTAGGAGAGCGCGACCGATGAAGAGACCGCCCTTCCCGTGGTAAAGACGAAATTCGTTGGAGTCCGAGTCGCATTCCAGGTGAATACCTTTTGCCATTTACTGGCTGACGCTGAGTAAGTTGTATCCCAAGTTGTCGACGATCAGAACTTTGTTGAGTTGGAGTATGACGTTCGTCTCCATTGACTGAAGCTGAACGACGCCTTGTCTGTTTGTTTTCAGGTTCTCGTTGTTGGCGACAGTGATGATAACATCACGGTTGAGGCGTCGCTCTCGCTGCACGAAGCGCTCGGAAGAACACATGTGTTGACCGCAGCAGCTATCCAAGAACCAGGTGTTTCGTCCGGTGGGTTCGGCGTTGGCGACTGCAGCGTATGTCGGGTTAACCTTAAGTCCTTGTGAGCGTGGTGGCGGCAATTCTTCTTCGTCTGGAGCGTAAGTGGGTGGTGATCCGGGTGCGCAGCTGTCGATGTGTATCATGCAATTGATGATGTTTGGTGTGCCTTGTGCAGATGAGGAGGAACGTCTCGGTGACCTTTCTTGAGTGGAGGCGACTTGCGGGTCTACTGGACGATAAGCTCGGGGACGTGTGCAGTTGACTTTGGAGTGTCCGGATGTTTGGCAGTTGTGGCAGAACGGCGGCACAATGGTGAGTCCTCTGTTGTCGCGTTGCTCTTGCTTGCCGCGTTGATTTTAGTTGTTGTCGTTTCTTCGTTGAGTGTAGAAGACTAACGGTTGCTGCTTCCTTGGTTGTCTTTCTTCAAACAGGTCCATCTCCTGTTGTTCAGCATGGAGCTCGGCGCAGAGGTGCATCTCCGAGATTCGTCCGTGGGCGCAAAGGAGCGAGCGGGTGGTTCTCCATTCTAGCCCGAGCCCAGCGAGTACAAGCGTTACGAAGCTTTCTTCAGTGATTGTTCCTCCGCACCGAAGCAGGCGGTCGCGGAGTGTCTGGCATCGACTCATATACTGCATCGCTTTTTCTCCGGTCTTCATCTGTATTGTTGTCAGTTGCTGCATGAGTCTGCTTTGTGTCACGCTGTCGTTTGCTTGGTAGAGACACTTGAGGTGATGCCATGCGAGTTCCGCAGAGTTTCCATAGCTCCGATACGTTTTGATGCTTTGCTGCTCTTGTGGTGACAGGTTTCGCAGGAGAACTGTGTACGCCAGCAGCGACTGATACGTAAAAATTTCTTGCTCTTTCGCAGTGCCATTGCTTGGAAATGGCAAGGACCCGTTGAAGTATCCCAAGAGATGCGCAGCCTCCATCAGCAGCTCGAACTCAAAGATCCAGGTAAAGAAGTCGTGTCCGTTGAACGGTGAGGATGTCTGCAGTTTGATCACGTGTGAAAACTGCGCCTGGAGACTAAGTATCTCGTTTGGTGTCTGTTGTGATGCAGCTGCTGTTGGTTGGGCACGGGGCGGCATGAACTCGAACGTCGCCGGTGAAGAGTGATAAGGCGCAAAGGTAGGCGCTTGATTGTGTCGCCCGAACGATGAGTTGTCAAGGCTCATCGGCGCTAATCCCATGTTTCCTCCGTTGCTCTGTGTTGAATGCGCAGGTGTCCTTGTCTGCTGCTGCTGGTCGAAGTGCGACATGAAGCTGAAGAACCTTTCCATAAGGTTCGGATCCACGCTTGAAGAGGGTGATGGGGTCACCATTTCTGGTGCTCTTCCTGTTGTTTCTTGAGCAGCGCCGGTCTCGGTTTGCAGTCCTGAAGTGTGCAGTCCAGAGTTGCCGGGTTGAGTGTCTTGGGCACTGGGTGAGCCCGTAGAGGTTTTCTTGCCCTTGTTGTCCATGACTTGTAATCAATGAAGTCGTTGGTGTGTTGATTGTAGATAAAGCGTAGTTGCTGGGAGTTTGGTCTCTGACAAGCTCTCATACCATGTTGGGCTGAGAAAAGCCCTTAGGATCTTTCCAGAGACTAAGTTCCAGTTGTAAAAGGAGACTTGAGTAGTGCAGCGGAAGTTGAATAGTTGAACCCTTGTACTAGTATGTGAGAACAAGTGATTGATTAAAAGGAACAAGCATACAGCAATATATAGAAAGTAGGAAAGTAAAGCAGTTGTAGAATACAGTTGAAGAGCGGTTATCGAGTCGCACAGCGACTCGATTGTCGCTTCGGTTACCATCCTTGCAGTTGTAACGGTCAGTCGCAACCTCCGGTTGCGACCCTTCGAGTACTTTCGTGTTCTTTGTCCATCCCCTCGTGTAACCTCCGTTGACTCGCGTACCCGTTACGATCTTCTTCGAGTGTGGTGTTACAGTTCAGAAACGCTAAGTCCTTGAGGTATTTCCAACACCCTCTACAGTAGAGTTCGATATGTTGAGTGACCCGCTGGGGTTGCCCTTGAGATCCTCGGGGAAGGGCCACAGGTGCAGAGCCTGGGGGGCTATGGGCGCACTTACCCGCTATTTAACAAGCCCTTTTAACCCAGTGGTTAGTGACTGGGTTTCTGACACGATAACCTACCAAGCCTACCAATTAGATGACACAATATATAACTTGGTAGGCTTGGTAGTGGCAAGCCCACACACCCCCACACCCCCTAACATTACACCCCCATACTCAGTAGCAACGACTGCTACTTCAGCACGGTCAACCCCACGGCGCGTGAGGCGGGGCGACGTCGACAACGAGGACAACGGATGCAACGGCGGCGACGGCGGCAGCGTCGACTGCGGCGTGCGGCGGTGTGGCCAGCGGCACCAGCTGCGGCGGCGGCGGCTGCGACGACAGCTGCTGGCGGCGGCGGAGCTCGCAGCACTCGGCGGCGTGGCCGGGTTCCGCGACAGTGGGACGGCTGGCGTGAAGTAGCTGTCGGCTGCGGCAAGGAAGAGGGGACGCAGGGGAAGGGGGGGGGGGCCTTCAGCAGCGGAGCCCGGGTGCGAGCCGCTCCGTGTGGCGCGCTGGCTGCATGCAGGCGTGCTGGCCAGCGCTTAGAAGAGGCGCTGGTCGCTGCCGTCCGTGCCGTCCGCGCGCTGTCGCGTAGACGCCGCGGCAGCACGACGGCGCCGTCACAGTTTGACGTCGATGCCGACGCCGCCACGGCTTGACGTCAACGCCACAACAGCGCGACGCCACGGCAACACGACGCGGCCGGCGGCACGACGACGCGGCCACAGCAGCACGACGCGGCCGCCATGGCAGCGAAAGAGAGAGAGAGAGTTGAAGAGCGCGGTGGAAGCGTGAGGAGCAGGCCCACAAGGAACGAACAGCTCTGATTCCATGTTACGAAGGCTAACTTAGCTAGGAAGGGTGGCAATGAAATGGCGTGAGGGTTTAGGAGCTAGGAGCTAGGAGAGGAAAGTTGACGAGAGAAAAGAGGATGAACTAGAAGAGAGAGGCATACAAGGAGGGAGTGTTAAATTATATTTTGTTATATAATTGATACCTTGGTAGTTGTTACTGAACCTTACTGTAGAGGGTACAATTCCCTCTTTGTCTGCCTCTCTCTTCCTAGTCTCACTATCTTTTCTCTCGACACCTTTCTTACTCTCCTTGCTAAACCCTGCCGCCACTTTCATGGCGGCCTTCCCTACCTCCTAATAGCCTATTAATTCTTGCATTCGAACAGGGAGTTGTACCCTCTACAGTAGAGTTCAATACCAAGCGTACCAATTATATAACACAATATATAACTTAACAAGTCTAACTGTGTCCAATACTCCAGTGGTGGTTTGAATGGGCCCATGCCCCACCTATCCTACATACAAAACGAATGAATCAAATGGTTGCTCATACACTGCATATGGGAAGTGCAAACTCATGGACTATGGTAATGGCTATTCACATCACAGCATCATCGAACCCTAGGTAAGTCAAACTGTGTCCAGTACTCCAGTGGTGGTTTGAATGGGCCCATGCCCCACATATCCTACATACAAAACGAATGAATCAAATGGTTGCTCATACACTGCATATGGGAAGTGCTAACTCATGGAGAGAGCACGAATCATGCTCCTTTCCATAACTCTCCTTTCCAACCATAACGCACATCTCGCTAGAGTGACAGGGCATGTTACTTGCTGCTGCTGCCGCTGCTGCAACCGCCATCGCTGCCGTTGCTGCGAGTACGCTTGTGCACGTGCTCGTCCTCCTCTCCTCCCTCCCCCCTCCCACCATCCGTGGGCCGTTTCAAAGATGCAGCTGAAGCCACTGCAGTCAACCCACACCCGCTGCTGCCATCCCTGTCACAACTGTCGCCACTACCACCACCACTGCTGCTGTTGTTACCAGTGGCAGCAGCAGCAGTGGTGGCTTCATGCTCCTCTCTCCTCTCCCCGTCTTCTCCGCCCTCCAGGCCCCCATGCGCCTCGCCAGTGCAGCCACTCTCCCCAGCCAACCTTGCTGCTGCCACTATCTCCCCCTTCTCCGCTTCTGCGTGTCCCGCAGCTTCCGCCCTTGCTGCTCTCTCCACTTGCACTCTCATCACCTCCGCCTCGTCCACCTTCCCCCCTACTGTTGCTGCTCTTGACCCTGCTGCCGTTAGAGACGTCTCAACAGGCCCTGCTCCCCCGCCCACAGACCTCTCCACTGATCCCTCCTTCTCCTCCTTCTTCTCCTCCTCCTTCTCCTTCTTCTCCTCCTGCTTCTCCTCCTCCTCTTCCTCCCGCTGTGCTACCTCACTCTCCCCTTGCTTCTCCCCCTCCTCACCCTCCCTCTCTCCCCCCCCTTCTCCCCCCCGCTCTCCACCCTCTCCTCCCCCTTCTCCCTCCTCTCCGCCACCCTCCGCTCCACGAGCAGCCTAATCCAATCCATAACCCTAACCACGTGCTGCAGAGCCACCGCAGGGTCGCTAACCTGGGTCATATTCGGCGCAAACACCACCGCCATGTTTCGCTCACTCATCCGATTCTCCTCCGCGTGCGCGCACACGTCCGCCATAAGATTCACCGCCCAGTCCAGCAACCCGCGCTCTGTAGCGGGGAGCGACGCGGCTAGTAGGACCGCCGATTCCGTCGTGTTGGGGGATCTGGCGAGGCGGGAGGGCGAGACGGAGTCTAGGAGACCTGTGGGGAGCTCGAGGAACCATGACTTGATAAGGGCGGCGATGCTGTGCACGTCCATGTCGACGGGGACGACCCCCGCGCTCATCTGCTCGCGCACGCGCTGGTCATGCTCCATCTTGCCGGATATCCGGAACACGCCCTCCGTCTGCGCGCAACGACGACAACGACAACGACAACGACAACGACAACGACGACGAGGACGATGAGAACGATGAGGATGATGAGGACGACGAGGACGACAACGACGATGAGGACGATGAGGACGATGAGGACGACAGAGAGGATGACGACGACGACAGTGGTGACGGGTGAGGAAAAATGGCGCGATACAAAAGCGTTCTCGGGCGCGACAGTGCGACGGTGCTACAGCGCGATAGTGTGCGACAGTGTGCGACAGTGCGCGACAGGGTGCGACAGTGCGCGAGAGTGAGCGAGAGCGGCGTAGTACGTACCGAGAGGCCGCCGAGGTCGTAGAGGCGCGCCTGGAGCTTGAGCAGAATGGTGGGCACCTCGTTGCCATGGCGGTCCATGGCGCACTGCATCGACTCCGGCCGCACGCCGAACACGGACAGACTGCCACGTGGACAGAGCGGGAGGGGCGGGGGCCGGGGGGGGGGGGGGGGGGGCGCAGGGGGAGGGAAAGAGCGGAGGATGCGGCGGGAAGGTAAGCGGACGGTGGCGGAAGCGGCAGAGGTGGGCGTAAGTTACTCTTGGAGTGATTCAATCTCGTGCCAAATCGCGTTCTTTTTTCTTGCACGCACGTGCGACGCGGTAAAGAGCATTTCGCGGCGCGATTCGGAACGCACCTGGCGCTGGGCGGCTCGCCGTCGACGTGCTTGAGAAATTCCTCGGGCAGCCCGAGAAAGCCGCGATGGCGGTCGAAGGTGACGTGCGCCACGTGGCGCACGTTGAATGGCTGGCCGATGTCCATCATGGGCGGCATGGCGCACGCGTCGGACCACGTCGGGTCGCGACGGAGCAGAGAGAAGGAGCGACGAATGGCTGCGACGCGGGGGAAGAGGAAGGGAGGAAGGAAGCAGAGGACGACGAGAAAGCATGAGCTTTTGAGTCGACGGAGCAGAGAGAAGGATCGATGAATAGCTGCGACGGCGGGGACACGTGGAAGGGAGGAGGAACGGGAGGGAGGAAGGGAACCGGGTGCACAGAGGAGAAGGAGAGACGGGGGAGGGGGGGGAGGGGAGGGGGGTGGGGGAAACGGCGGGAAGGGAGTGGCTGAAGAGCTGCAAGCTTAGAGAGGAAGGCAGTGAACGGCGTAGTATACGCGATCGTGCGGCGACTGGCAATCGCGGTTCGCCATGAGAGGCGAGGGATAGCGTGGAATGAGAAAGAACGCAGGTGCATGGATGAAGTTTTAAGGCACCTTAAAAAGTACCGAGGGATAGCTTGGGATAAGAAAGAACGCAGGTGCACAGCTGAATTGATGGTGGAAAGGTGGCGGGTGCGGGGAGGATCGGGTTAGTACCGAGCATTATGCGTCCGATGGATGATCGCGAAAGCGAGGGCTTGTTGTTGCGGTCGCGCGATGCGTTATGGTCTGACGCGACAGACGCCGCTGTCATGCAACCGGCGACGTCGCTCGTTACTAGCAGTCTAGTTATGATCTGTTAACAAACGGAGCGCTATCAGGCGGGCGATACTAGTATTACTATCACACGCGCCACCAGCATAACTCGCACGTGAAGAGGGAGACAGGCAAACAAATCGCGCCTTCCAGTTTCCGTGGTAACTATGAGGGTAAGTGCGTCTGCGATTAAAGCGGCAGGAGACGTCGCGAGACGAAGAGGCGGGGGCAGAGATGGAACAAGAAAAAAACACGGCTGATCAAGTTTGGTGCTGGAGGAATGAAGAGCTTGATTTGTGTAGGAAGGAATGACTGATTGTGTGCTTGGGGGTGATGATCAAGAAATGGAAGTAGGGCTGGCTTGCGCCTCAGGAAAGGAAGTGTGGTTGAGTGGAGTAGGGGAGTGGAAGTGGCGTGGTGTGGAGCTTAGGACTTGAGTGGTCGCGGCGAGAAGGAGCAGCGGCTGACGACGACGGCCGAATGAGAGCTTCACTGGAGGTAGGCTGGGCTAGGGGTTTGCGTTGCGTTACGACCACGACGAGGGGTGGGTGGCTCGCGAAGTTACGCTGTGACAGACGGGCTTGCAGGGCAAAATAAACGTTGTTTGAAACGTTTACTCCTAACCACCAGGAGGATCACACCCGCCAGTGCACGGCATTCGGCCCCTCACACCCATCTCAAGAATTGCGCAAAACTTGCCGCAAAACTCTCCTAAAAACTTATTTCGGTAGCCTGAGAATTGAAGGCAGCACCTGTCTCTGTCTCAATAAGGTCTGCCCGTTTCGAAAAACACGAACAAAGGCTTGTAGTTGCCAGGTCCTCCTCCCCATCAGCTCCCGCGACACTGTAGACAGCCTCCGCGCGTTCACCTCCCTCCTCCGCGCCAACCAGGGCACCTGCAGAACGACCTGCCAGTGGGTTCGGTTCGGTCGGTTCCGCCTGCTGAATTGCTGGCCCCACACCGTTGACCTCCTGATCTGGCACCCAAGGGAGGCTGTGGCTGGGTAAAGCCCGAATCCTGGCAAGGTTGTTGGCTTGAGACAGATCACGCACGTGACGTTCGGGTGGGGAAGGTGGTATGGCGTACAGTGTACGTACGACGTTTGACAGAGAACGTCCTTGGGTGCGACGCATTTCTGGTCGGCGGTGCGACACATCGGCCTGATCCTCGCTCGCAGGAGCAGTCGCTTGGCTGGCAGAGGGCTTCGGAAAACCAGCGTGAAGGGTCCCCCGAGGCAAGTCGCGGGCATTGCGGGCTTGTCCCTGGCATCACGTTCTACAGCATGGAGTGGAGCAACTGTTCGACTTTCAACGCCTTAACAACCCAAATGTGGAACACCCAAAACATGTTAGCTAAGACTGGTTCTTAGGTATGAACTCAGGGTGAACCATTGACATAGCTGGTTTTGGGAGATTTGCAACTGAGCCAGACCCAATCAAAGCAAATATGAAAGCTTTGTGACAGAAACGCATCATTGGGACGGGGGACTGGGGGGACGGGTTTGGTTGGTCGCCTCCTCCACCTTCCCACGTCAACATGCCGCGAAGCTCGCAGGCATTGGTGGGCTTGCGTGGACATCGTGGGGGGCCCACGCCGGCCGAGCATAACGGAAAATGCGGCAGTCCCATTGGCTGAACGTTCTCCGCGCACATCAGGTCAAAACCCGATGGAACGTTCTCGGTTGAGCTGGCGCGATGTACGCTCGCGTTCTCCTTAGATTCCACCTTCAGCGACGTGCGAGCCGCGAGCTCAGGTGGGCCAGCAGCACTCGCCTGGAACAGCTCCTGACGCACAGAAATCCCGAGCCAGTGAAATTGCGCCACCACCACGTCCAAAAAAAGCCCCACAGCGGATATGAAGTGTGATGTGGATTTTTGGGTTGCGTAGCAACCCTATAAAATCGGTTTCACATTTCGGAGCATTGATACGAACAGTAAACATTTTAAGAATTTAGTTAACTGTTCGGTGCAACTCCAAAATATGAATCCAAATGTCCAAAGTGCTCCATCGCGTCGATAAGTACGGCGGATAGAACAATCAGACCGCATGACACATTTCAACAAAATTTTATGTATAATTAAACATCCCGTAGGATTGCAAATGCCAAGAAACGAGTGCATATAGGCATTAGTAGTGTTGCAGTAGAGATTGATGGGGTGCACGATGACAGCAGAACTGCCTCGGACACGATGACAATCTCTAATTGCAACACCTAGCCTATAAGCAGCACGCTCGAAGCAAACAGAATCCAAATACACATCGTGCCAGCCACCCCATCTCGTCGATAAATACGGTGGATGGAATAAACATGTATGTACGATAGGATTGTGAGTGCTACGAAACGATTGCATAAATGCATCAATGCTGCAGCAGAGATTGATGGGGTGCGCGATGACAACAGAGTTGCCCCAGGCACGATAACAACCTCTAATTGCAACACCTTGCATATAAGCAACACGTCCGAAGCAGACACAATCCACGCCTTGCAGTCACACGCACTATGCACATGGAGACCAGGGTCCTAAATAGCATACCTTTTTTGTCTAATTGTCTGATTTTCAGACTGGTTTTTAGGGGTTTCTCTGATTTTTCAGACAACGGTTTGAAAACACTCTGATTGGCCTAGATAAGCTTTTAAGATTTCTCTGAATTTCTCAGACTAGGTGTACCAGATTCTCTGATTTTTAGACAAGTGAATCGAGTTTCTCTGAAACAGAGACATAGATGTTACCCGGCTCCCACGCAAGTCTTCACTGTTTCGCGCCCCCACATATCGCTCCCCCCTCGACGTCCTTTGTCTTGTCCTCCTTATCAGAAAATTGAATGATGTGATAGAGGGAGAGTACACACAATATAGCTAAGTGTTGTACCCTCTAAGAGGCTACCCTATACAGTCTATACAAACATAACAAATAGACATGTTTGACACACCCCCTAGACTGCATAGGGGAAAGTCCTAAACAAACAGCTCAGGGCGGCACTACTAGTCCAACCTCTGAGACAAGGGTCTGAGCGACCAGTCAGAAGGAGTACAGACAAGGCAAGCAAAGAGCAGGGCGGCACTACTAGTCCAGCCACTGGGAGAGGACACAAGTCCAGTCTGTGTATACATATAAAGGACAGTACAAAGTCAAGGTCCTAGCAAGTGAGAGGCTACAGGAACTAGACCAAGCTGTACACAGTGCCGCTGATGATCTTTAGGCGCAAGCGCCTTCGTAAAGATATCAGCCGTGTTGGCACCTGAGGCCAAGTGTACTACGCGAGCCTGACGTCGCTGCTGTAGCTCACGCAGGAGGAAGTACCGCAGCTGAATGTGCTTCGCTCTGCCCTCGAGTCGAGGCTCCTGACACAGGAGGATCATGGCCCTGTTGTCAGCGAACAGGACCGGGGCAGAGCTAGGTCGCTCACCTAAGTCAGTGAGCAAGAAGGTCAGCCAGCGGAGCTCCTGTGCCGCCATGGCACCGGCGTAGATCTCAGCCTCACAGCTGGACTGTGCAACAGACGAGGAGCGAGTAGCTCTCCACGAGACGGCACCTGAGCCAAGGCTGAAGCAGTAGCCCTGGGTAGACCGGAGTGTCTCAGCGTCGTCTGCCCACGAAGCGTCTGTGTGCCCAGTAAGGACCGCTGGCCTGCGTCCTCCTAGCACTAACCCCATGCCCGATGTACTAGCAAGATAACGCAGAACCCTCTTAGCGGCAGACCAGTGCTGCGGTCGGTGTCTGCCTGTGGCCACAAAGCGAGCCAGGATGCTGAGAGGGTATGCGAGATCTGGGCGAGTGCAAGTCATCAGGTACATGAGGCAACCCACCAGCTCTGCGTAGGGGCCGCTGGGCTCTACCAACTCCTCAGGCACTGGAGCGGAGAGCCTGTGGTCTACAGGCAGAGGGGTGGGCTGTGCAGAGGAGAACTGAAGGCTGAACCTCTGAAGGACCTGGCGCACCAAGTGTGACTGAGTCAGGGTGATGGTGCGCGCAGCTCTGTCCCTGGAGATCTGCAAGCCAAGGTAACGGCGCAGTTCTCCAAGGTCAGTGCAGGTGTGTCTCTTCAGCAGCTCTGCCTTTACGGAGGCCAGCGCGTCCCTGTCTGCTGTGGCAAAGACCAGGTCGTCGACGTAGACGAGGATGTAGAACGGAGTCTGGCCAGCACGAACGAAGAGTGAAGGGTCTGCAGAAGACGGAAAGAACTGCAGGTCAGCAAGCGTAGCACGCAGAGTGTCGTGCCACTCACGGGGAGCCTGGCGCAGGCCGTAGACGGGGCGCCGCAGGAGCCACTGGGTCCCAGGAGGGAAGGTGCCAGTAAAGCCCGGAGGGCGGCGCAGGTAGACCTGCTCGTGTAGGCTGCCCTGAAGGAAGGCAGTGGAGAAGTCGAGAGAGTGAAGCTCGTAGTCACGCTGAGCAGCTAGGTGTAACAGAACCCGAAGAGTAGTCATCTTCGGGGTCGGAGCGAAGGTGTGGAAGAAGTCCACCCCCTCGCGCTGACTGAAGCCTCTAGCCACATAGCGCGCCTTGAAGACAGGCGGCTCTCCAGGAGGGCGCTTCACCTTGAAGAGCCAGCGGCCATCGACTACGTTCACCCCAGGTGGGGGAACTGCGTCGACGAAGGTGCCGGTGGATCTCCAAGATGCCATCTCCTGCTCCATGGCAGCTATCCACTGCGAGGCCCAGGGTCCCGAAGTCGCCTCAGCGTAAGTGCGAGGGGTCGGGATGTCGAAAGCGTCTGGGTCACCCTCAGGGACTAGCAGCATGGAACAGAGATGGGGAGCAGCCTCGGAGAGGAAAGCAAGCTCGAATTGGCGGTCCTCCAGGACGTCACTGCCAAGGGCAGGAGCACCCCCGACAGACGGAGGACAGGCAGGGTCAGAGACCAGAGCGGTGGCGTAGTCAAGGCGCCGGGTAGAGGCGAAGTCAGCGACAGCAGCGACAAGAGCGTCAAGGCACGAGACTGGAACAGACGGGTCTGTAACGAGAGAGGCAAGGACCCGAGGAACGAGGGGACGAGCGGCACGAAGGTAGTCGGACAGCGGGGGAGGCGCAACAACAAGGGAGGACGGAGGAGGCGACGGCAGAAGGGGAGGACGAGACGCGTGTGAACGAAGCAACATAGGGTGGGAGCGCAGGACAGGCGAGGCAGGACGAGCACGGGAGGGACGGTGAGACCAGACGTGCGATGGAGGAGTCGGGTCAGGAGACAGGGGAGGGGACACAGGAGGTGAACGAGGGGGGAGACGGGCCGGGGACGAGTCCGGCGGAGGGAAAACAGGGCCGTAGACAGGAAGAGGAGGAGACGGTCGGGGAGGAACCGACGCAGGGTCGGGGGACGGAAGGCCGAGCAGGCGAAGGGCGGACACCGGCGGGGACTGCTGCTGCGGCGGCACAACGGCGACACCTGGACCGCAAGCTGCTCCTCGGCTACCACCGGCACGCTCCACACCCGCACCCCCAGAGGGACCACCCTCAGGGGGACCGGGACGAGCACCCCCAGAGTCAGCGAACGGGG